TACAGTTTTAGCTCATATGTTTAGGTCTTTGATCCACTTTGTGTTAATTTTTGTAAATGGTGTAGGGTAAGAGTCCAGCTGCATTCTTTTGTAGGTGGATACTCACTTTTCACAACGTTATTATTGAAGAGACTGTCCTTTCCTCATTGAATGGTCTTGGCACCCTTGTGGAAAATCATTTGACCATATATGCAATGATTTATATCTGAGTTCTCTCTTCTATTCCATTGGTCTATATGTCTGTCTTTATGCCAGTATCACACTGTTTAGATTACTGTACTTTTCAGTAAGTTTTGAAATCAAGAAGTGTGAGACCTCCAACTTCGTTCTGCTTTTTCATGCTTGTTTTTGCTATTCAGGATGTCTTGAAATTCCGTATGAATTTTAAGATGAATTTTTCTACTTCTGCCAAAAAAAAAAATCACTGGGATTTTTACAGGGATTGCATTCAATCTGTCGATCACTTTGGGTAGTATGGACATTTTAACAATAAATCTTCCAATCCATGAATATGGGATGTCTTTCCATTTATTTATGGCTTCTTTAATTTTATTAACATCTTTATTGGAGTATAGTTGCTTTACCAACTTGTGTTAGTTTCTGCTGTATAACAAAGTGACTCAGCTGTATGTCTACATATATCCCCATATCCCCTCCCTCTTTCATCTCACTCCCACCCTCCCTATCCCACCCCTCTAGGTGATCACAAAGCACAGAGTTGATCTCCCTGTGCTATGCAGCTGCTTCCCACTAGCTCTCTATTTTACATTTGGTAGTTTATGTATGTCAATGCTATTCTCTCACTTTGTCCCAGCTTACTCTTCCCCCTCCCCGTGTCCTCAAGTCCATTCTCTACATCTGTGTCTTTATTCCTGTCTTGCCCCAGGTTCATCAGAACCATTTTTTTTTTTTTTGATTCCATATATATGTGTTAGCATATGGTATTTGTTATTCTCTTTCTGACTTACTTCACTCTGTATGACAGACTCTAGGTCCATCCACCTCACTACAAATAACTCAATTTTGTTTCTTTATATGGTTGAGTAATATTCCATTGTATATATGTGCCATATCTTCTTTATCCATTCATCTGTCGATGGACTCTTTGTGTCTTCTTTAATTTCTTTCAGCAATGTTTTCTAGTTTTCAGTGTACAAGTCTTTTACCTCCTTGGTCAAGTTCGTTCCCCAGTACTTTATTATTTTTGATGCTATTGTAAATGGAATTATTTTCCTTTTCAGATTGTTCATTGTTAGTATATAAAAATGCAACTGATTTTTGTGTGTTGACTTTGTATCCTCCACTTGCTGAATTCATTTATTAATTCTAACAGTTTTTAATTTTTTGGTAGAATGCAGTTAACTTTCTTTTTAAAAACACATTTTGGGGCTTCCCTGGTGGCGCAGTGGTTGAGAGTCCGCCTGCAGGTGCAGGGGACACGGGTTTGTGCCCCGGTCCGGGAAGATCCCACATGCCACGGAGCGGCTGGGCCCGTGAGCTATGGCCGCTGAGCCTGCGCGTCCGGAGCCTGTGCTCCGCAACGGGAGAGGCCACAACAGTGAGAGTCCAGCGTACCACACAAAAAAACACATTTTGGTTACCCTTTTTTAAATTACACAATAGAAACATTCTCATTGGTATAAATTCAAGCAAGCCAGAAGAATATCAATTAAAAAGTGAAAGTGCCCCCTTACCTTTACTCTTGCCCCCTCCCAGCCAATCTCTCTTCCCTTCCCAAAGGTAACTGCCACTAAAAGTTTGCATTGCTCTTCCAGGTTTATTTCTTGTGTACATATTAGATGTATTTTCTAATTCTATATTTTTCTTCCAGTCTTTTGAAAGAAACAATATCCAAAAAACTTAACATTTCTAGTTCTTGAGGAATACCATCAGAAACTTCTTGCAGTAGTGGTCATGACACGTCTCCCATTTGAAAACTACTGATATTCTACTGCCATTCTTTATTTAAAAGAAAGAAATTTATCATTTTAATATTAGTTCAGCAATAGAGTTAGTTATTTGAAAATGGTATCAAAAGTGCTAACAAGTGTTTTATTGGGAGAAATACAATTGCAATTACTCAGCTCAAAGCTGAGTCCCTCCTAACCAATCATGTATGTGTATATATACACATACATATACATATTGTTTAAGTTGAAATGGCTCTCTAGTGAAGCTACTTCCCATGCATTACGTTTTTTCAATCTCTGGTTTTAGGTACCACAAACACAGTCATTAATTACTGATTTCTGCTAACTACTGTGTTATTCATAGACAAGAAACATCTTTTTTTTTTTCAGCTACATATGTCACTGGCTAAACTGATGAAGAAATATAATGTTCAATTAGAGATTTAAGCATAAAATACCTTTTTCAAAGTGTGCATTTTTGAAATATAAAATATTTACTTTGAAATGAAAAAAATGTGTCAAGTATGCCAAAAAATATGCATTGTTATCTTCAAATTACATTTTTTTAAATTAAAATTTAATGTTTAGCACCATGAGCAACAGATTCTTCTCAAACTGGTAGAAGTTCAAGATACACTTGTTTTTTTTCTGGTTTACATTGAAAATAAACATTTGATTGCTTGCCTTTTTAAAGGATTGATGGGAATTTTTTTTTTTCTGATTTTTAAGAAGTATTCACCTACATACTTTGATTTTATAAGTAGGTTATAAGCAAAATATTTTATCATTTGTTTTTCTGAAGAATAACAATTTTTACTTTACTGAATTCCTCAAAAAATATATAAAAATATGTACATATGGTTATTGTTTGTTTCTTAAATCATAATAACATTTGAATTAAACAACATCAGTGAAACCAGACAAAAAATTCAGATATGAAACTGGAATATTCTCAAATGAAGAATTCTAAAACACAGGGCCAGAAAAGACTTTAAGAGGTCATCTGCTCTATTACCGTTAAGCCAGAGTTTTCACAACTCTTTAAGTGTTTGAAGCCAAACAGTGAGTGATAAAGAATATAAAAAGATCTCTTGTGTCTTTATCAGTTGGAAACAGACACTCAAGAGATTGCATGCTGTTTTCTAGAGTTAATTTCTTAGAGTACATGGTTTAGAGAAAAGATATAGTTGCTGAATTTTCTTATTAACAATGCCATCTTCTAAACTGGACCAGGAAAAACTAGAGTCCTCTTTTTATCTGAAGGTTATAGGATTTAATGTATTAGTATTATATGTAACTGCTTAAAAGATATACTTGCCAATTCAAAAAGCAGATTTGTATTGTTTTGAGCAATGATAAATGGTTATAAAATAGCAAATCAGAGTGGACTAAATAAATCTAAAACCAACAGGGGACAAAAGTAAAGTTTTGTCATGAATAATGATACCAGAGGCCAAGCTCACAGACAACGTTATTTCTCCATTATCCAATAAATGCCATAGTACAAGGTAATGGAAGAACCAGTGATGTCCCCTGGGTTTAGAACCAGCACAGTGCCTAGTGGTCCTGACCGTAGCCTCCATGGTGCAGTGCCTTGCTGGCCTCCTAGCATTGTAGTTTCAGGCACCAGCTATGCATACTGATGCTACTCTGCCTCAGAGGGGAGAAGGAAAAACAGATCCTATGTTATAAGAGCATGAACCAGTGGAAGTGTAAGGAAACTTACACAGCATATAGAGAGTATTTACTTTTATATACCTTCTTTTTGAAGCATGTTTATGTAAGGTTCTGCCACTGCAATCTGATTTTAAAAGAACTTTTCTAATTTCAAATGTGTGCTATTTAGATTATCAATAGACTATCTGCAGAAAATATTCACTAAAGCATATGCTCTGCAAAGATGAGTATCATGGATGCCTCATAAAACTAACTGTTGCTAGTGATGTTCATAAAGCAGTTAAAAAGTTTGCCTCTTTGTGTTTTCTCTTTCTCTCCCCTATTTCCTCTGAGACTCCTCTATTCTTGAATGACCCCATTTCTTCTGCTTCCTTTAGCAAGTTAAAGATGCATGGTAATGAAAAAAAATCCAAAATCAGATGAAAAAGTCTAATTTGCTTTCTTCTTAGGTTTCCTGGATAATTTCATCAGGTGTTTCCTTTCTTAATGACTCAGCGGGTCTAGCCAGAAGTTGCCACTGTTTGAAAGGTGTTTCTTCAAAACTTCACATGTATTGAAAGTAAATTTTTCAAGATAGTTTCCAACTTAGCTTAAAATTTCAATGCTGGTTAAAGTTTAATACATGTTTCTGTTAGGTATTCATGTGGAAGCATGTATACAAATTTTCTAGATTCTGCTTTCAATGCATTCATGTTGAAGAGGGAGCATTGCCAGCAGTCAATGAACACTAATTCATTCAGCCATTTGGGGAATATAGTGGGTGTACTTCTTTGGATTAGTTCCTAGGGTTTTAAATTTATCTTCAGTGAATATGCACATCTGAACACATTTGAATAAGCCAGTGACTCCATGTGCCTGTGAACAAACTACTCTGGGAGACATAAAATTGCTACTCCAGTTTCTGTTCCATTCTCACCAGGCAAGTGTGGTGGGTGGGCGCATGTGAACCCTGTGTCCGCGGCAGATGCTCATTCGGAAAAGCATAGTGTCCCTCCTCCTCCCTCATCTCCACCTCCCCCACCGCCACCTCCCCACCACATGTACATTACAGCATGTGTGTGCTATGTGGCCTAGTTACACAATAGGGCACATGCTGCGCCAAGAAATGTCTCGCTAGCTTTCTGGACTTTACTACCTACACTCCGAAACTGGAACCGGACTCTGTTCCTTGAAAGAATTGAGCACCACCTTTGAGGATCAAATTTTCCTCACTCGTGTATTTCTGGGAATTGCACTGATGTTTGGCATTTATTAGTAGCGTTCAGGGTCTTTGAGTATTTTTCTGTCCCATGTTCTAAAGAATTCATGAGAAATGCTTACACGGGTGCCATTCTGTGCACCTCATTATGTTTTAAGGACATTTCTTTATTGCCCAGAAACTGACTATAATCATTTCCTTTTTCCCTTTTTCAGGTTTGAACAGGCTTTTATTACCAGTTTGATCAGTAGTGTGGTAAAAACGAAGGACACTTATTTTTGGATAGCTCTTCAAGATCAAAATGATACAGGAGAATACACTTGGAAGACGGCAGGGCAGAAGACAGAGCCGGTGAAATACACACACTGGAATGCACGTCAGCCCCGTGAGTAGAGGGCACTGTCACACCACTTCTCCCTCCTGTTTTCTTTGCCCCCAAATTCTATCAACCTCATGGTCCACCTCCTCTGATTCTTCCTTAGTGTTTTCTTAATGCATAAATCAACTAAAACAATTACCACCGGTTCTCAGGGGTGATATATGGCTGGCCATTTTTTAAAGTATAATTCATGTGAGTCATTTGACGAGTTCAAGGTATAAGTTCATTGCTCAAGACCACACATGCCTTTGTTAGCAGAAGCTCAGTTTCTCCCTCCTAAAGTCTTTTCCTCATCCGCCCTCATTGTCCAAGAATCTCAGGGGCTTACTCAGTCCGGAATAGTCTGTCATACTTCAAAGCAGAGTGAATGGGCACATTTGAGCATATCTAATCAGTTCACAGTCACTGCCACGTGACTTTGCTGTGGAATGTTACTTAGGTAACATTCTTGCTAGTCCATCTCCTCCATGGACTTCTGTGGTACCTTAGCCAGAATTTCAGAGTTACAGGTCTATTAATTCACCATCCTGTGCTCAGCTCTGGATCCCAAAGCATGAAACTGTGCCAGAGAAGCTAATGGTTTCAGCCATAATCTACACTAAAACCAGCCCCTGTGGACCAAGCTTTAGGCCCTTGTGTTAATCTTAGGTCACCAACCTAGATCCAACACACTTTTACCTCAGTGTGAACCCTGTTTGGATGCCTTGATCCCTTTCTCTTTTTTTTTTTAAATAAATTTATTTATTTTATTTATTTATTTTTGGCTGCATTGGGTATTTGTTGCTGTGCACGGGATTTTTCTAGTTGCAGCAAGTGGGGGCTGCTCTTCGTTGTGGCTTGTGAGCTCTAGAGCACAGGCTCAGTAGTCGTGGTTCACAGGCTTAGTTGCTCTGTGGCATGTGGGATCTTCCCGGACCAGGGCTCGAACCCATGTCCCCTGCATTGGCAGGCAGATTCTTAACCACTGCACTGCCAGGGAAGCCCTTGGTCCCTTTCTTGCCTGGGGATCTCAATCAGGGCTACCCCAATAGACAATAGGCAATAGGTTATCTTTAAATTTGTATCTAGAGGAAATGGGTTAGAGGCCTCAAGTTCCTCCCTGAGGAAAGATAACTATTATTATAATATTATAATAATTGTTATCATATATCACATATATAACGATAATTAGAGAACTAAACACCAATTAAAAGATATTTTTAGAGTTCAAAAAATAAGACCCAAGTATATGTTGTCTAAAAACACCCCACTTTAAATATAGACACCTATAGATTAAAAGTAAAGGGATAGAGAAAGATATCCATGTTAACATTAATCAAAAGAAAGCAGGAATAGCTATATTAATTTGACACAGAGCAGACTTCAGAACAAGAAAAATTTCCAGGGATAAAAATGGACATTACATAAAGACAAAAAAGTCAGCTCTAAAGAAGACATAACAATCCTTAATATGCATGTACCTAACAACAGAGTATCAAAATATATGAGGGAAAAACTGATAGAACTGCAAGGAGAAATAGATGAATCTACTGTTATAGTTAGAGACTCTTAACACCCCTATGACAGAAATGGACAGATCCAGCAGACAGAGAATCAGTAAGGACAAAATTGCACTCAACAGCACTATCAATCAACTGGATATGATTGACATCTATAGACTACTTCATCCAACAACAGCAACAGCAGATTACACATTCTTCTCAAGCTCATGTGGAACATCCACTGAGATAGACTACATTCTAGGCCATAAAACACACTTAACAAATTTAAAAGAAGTCATACAATGTCTTGCTCTCAGATCACATGAAATTAAATAGAAATAAAGAACAGAAAGATAGCTGAGAAAATTCCAAAATACTTGGAGATTAAGCAGTACACTTCTAAATAATGCATGGGTCAAAGAAGAAATCTCAAGAGAAAATTTTTTAACATTTTAAATTAAATGAAAATGAAAATACATTTGTGAGATGAAGAGAAAGCAGGGCTTAGAGGGAAATTTATAGCACTGAATGCACATACTAGAAAAGAAGAAGTATTTAAAATCAGTAATCTAAGCTTCCACCTTAGGAAACTAGAAAAAGAAGAGCATATTAAATCCAAAGTAAGTAGAAGAAAAGAAATAATAAGAATTAGAGCAGAAATCAATGAAATTGAAGACAGGAAATCAATAAAGAAAATCAATGAAACTAAAAGCTGGTTCTTTGAAAATATCAATGAAATTGATAAGCCTCTAGCCAGGCTCACTAAGAAAAAAGAGAGGAGACACAAGTTACTAATATCATAAATGAAAAAAAGGGACATCACTACAGATCCCATGGACATTAAAAGGATAAAAAAGAAATATTATGAGCAACTCTATATCCATAAATTTGACAACCTAGGTGAAATCGACCAATTCTTTGAAAGACACAATCTACCAAAACTCACACAAGAAGAAATAGACCCTCTGAATAAGCCTATATCTATTAAGAAATTGAATCAGTAATTCATAACTTTCCAAAACAGAAAGCAGCAGGCTCATATGGGTTCAACTGGTGAATTCTACCAAACATTTAAGGAAGAAATTATACTAGCTCTCTACAACCTCTTCCAGAAGTTAGAAGCAGAGGGAATATTTTGTAACTCATTCTATGAGGGCAACATTACCCTAATACCAAAGTCAGACAAGGACATGACAAGAAAAGAAAACTACAGACCAATATCTCTCATGAACAGAGGCACAAAAAATCTTTAACAAAATATTAACAAATTGAATCCAACAATGTATAAAGAGAGTTACACACCTCAATCAAGTGGAATTTACCCCAGGTATGCAAGGCTGGTTCAACATTTGAAAACTTATTAATGTTATCCATGACATCAACAGGCTAAAAAAGCAAAATCACATGATCGTATCAATAGATGCAGAAAAAAGCATCTGACAAAATTCAACACCCATTCATGTTAAAAACTGTTAGCAGGGCTTCCCTGGTGGTGCAGTGGTTGAGAGTCCGCCTGCTGATGCAGGGGACACGGGTTTGTGCCCCGGTCTGGGAAGATCCCACATGCCGTGGAGTGGCTGGGCCCGTGAGCCATGGCCACTGAGCCTGCGCGTCCGGAGCCTGTGCTCCGCAACGGGAGAGGCCACAACAGAGAGAGGCCCGCGTACCGCAAAAAACAAACAAACAAACAAACAAAAAACTGTTAGCAAACAAGGAATAGAGGGGAACTTCCTCAACTTGATAAAGAACGTCTACAGAAAACCCACAGATATTATACTTAATGGTGAAAAACTAGAAGCTTCCCCACTAAGATCAGGAACAAGGCAAGGATGTCCCTTTTCAACACTCTTTTAAACATTGTACTAGAAGTCCTAGCTAATGCAATAAGACAAGAAAAGCAATTAAAAGGTACAGATTGGAAGAAAAGAAATAAAACTTTGTTCACAGACGACATGATTATTTATGTAGAAAATTAGAAAGAATCAAAAACAATTCCTGGAACTAATAAGCAATTATAGCAAGATTGCAGGACACCAAATTAATGCTCAAAAGTCAATTGCTTTTCTGTATACCAGCGATGAAAAGGGGAACTTTAAATTAAAAACATATTACATTAACACCCCTCAAAATGAAATTTTTAGATATAAATCTAACAATATATATAAGATCTATAGAGGAAAACTATAACCTTTAATGGCAGAAATCAAGAAGAACTAAATAAATAGAGAGAGATTCCATGTTCATAGGTAGACTCAGTATTGTCAAGATGTCAGTTCTACACAAATTGACCTATAGACTCAATGCTATCCCAATCAAAACACCAGCAAATTATTTTGTGGATATTGACAGACTGGTTCTAAAGCTTATAATGAGAAGCAAAAGACCCAGGATAACCAACTCAGTACTGAAGGAGAAGAACAAAGTCAGAGGATTGATACTACCTGACTTCAAGAGTTATTATAAATCTACAGTAATCAAGACAATATGGTTTCGGCAAGAAAAAAAAAAAAGACAAATAAATCCATAAAAAAGGATAAAGAGCCTAGAAATAGACTGACACAAAAATAATCAGCTGAGCACTGAAAAAGAAACAAAAACAATACAATAGAAAAAACTTTTTGACAAATGGTGCTTGGCCAATTGGACTTCCACATGCCAAAAAAAAAAAAAAACCCAAAAACTAGAAACAGAGTTTACACCCTAAACAAAATTAACTCAAAATGGATCATAGACCTAAATGTAAAACACAAAGCTTTGACATTCCCTGAAGATAACATAATAGAAAATCTCCATGACCTTGGGTATGGTGATGACTTTTTAGATACAACACCAAAATGCTCTAAAATATATTGTTTATTCTTTTTTTTTAAATCTATACTTTTAAAGGATGCATGCAAGGTGAAGTAAGACAAATTAGATTCTTTGTGTATAACCATCGCTTTAGGAAATTTGTATATAAACCGGTGACTGCATAGCTCTAAACAAGAAACATCACAATTCACTCAATAAACAACCTTCTCATTCTACAAATTTATGAATGTCATTAAAATGCAGAGAAGAGTAAAGTTCCATGTCACACTATTACTGGAAAAAAACCCAGGTATCATTTCTAATATACTTTGTAATTTTGTTAGGAGTGTCTATACCTGTCAAAATAAATTAATATATTTTGAGTAGACAAAATTCTTAGTTTTTAATGTTATCTTCCTTGGGGCATATTTGAGTGTCTAAAATTTGGAATTGAAGCAGAACTCCTTGTCATTCATAAGTTTCTGCTGTAATTTATTTGAGTGGCACTACTCTTTTTCTCTTTTCCCTGAAGCAAAAATAATATCGTGATGCTCAGTTTGGCTGCTCAGGCTGATTGACATTGAGTAAATTGTCTCTGAAAATGTAAATCTTTTTTTGAAGAAAATAGCAATATAAAAAACCCTGTGTTTCCTTTTTTCTTTTAAATTGCAGTTTGCAGAAACACCATCCTAAATGACATTTTTTTTTCCTGCCTGTCACAAAAGAATCCATTAG